TAATATAAAGTGTAATTTCAACCATAAGTTTTGGCCAAAGTGCTTGTCTCTGAAATGGAAAAAATGCCTAAAGAACACAGTAAATACCCATTCACTAATATAGTTACGTTAGTTACAGGGTTAAGGTTGATGCTGCTGTGGGAGGTTTTTTATTCTACATGTCAAGTTCACCTTATTAATCGTTATAATGTCAATTAAAATGTTGTCATCTTTAGACAAGTCTTAACCGTCAAAAACAACTAGCAGCAAAAAAAAAGAAAAAAAGAAAATGCTGCAGAAAGAAAGGTTTAGGAAATGATGTGGAATCATTTACTCTGACCTTCAAGTATAGAGTATCACTAAGACATCACATTTTTATAGCGTCTCTCACATTGTTTGTTATTCTGAGTCTATGATTAACTGTGATTAAAAACATGAATGTGTTGATGTGATCATGGTTGTTGCTCCTCTTTCAGATCTCCAGAGATCATGCTGGGGCATCCCTTCACAGAGGCCATAGTCACGTGGTCTCTGGGACACATGGCTGCTGTGATGTACCTCGGGCCCTGCTGTACCCTGGATTGAGTGAATATGAAATGGTACACAAACTACTTCAAATGCACTTTCTGWTCTGATTTATAAATATCTTAAAGGGACAGTTCATATCATGTACGTAATATTGGAATAAATCATGAGCTTATTTCTTTAAGATAAAAAGAAAACACTCTTAAAGTCCCAGAGAGGTTTTTTATTCACTACTGGAGCTAACTGATGACATGTATGTGTGTTTTAGATCCGACCRACCTGWTGATGTACTGTGCCACAGTGTGGTTCACCGCCTGCTCGGCTGCAGATGGGAGGGCTCTGCAAAGGATCGCCAGGGCTGCAGAGAGGATCACTGGCTCCCCTCCATCCCCCCTAGAAGACATTYCCAGCTCCCYCTGCCTCAGCAGAGCGCAGAGAATCTCCAGGGACACTTTCCACCCTGGCCATAGGCTGTTTAACCTGATGCCGTCAGGGAAGTGGTTCACTTGCACCTCTCTTTGCACTATTTTGTATAGTTTTTAACGTCCAGTCAACATGTTTATTTTATTATTATTTCTTTTTTTTACTAAATGCACCTTTCAGGGGTAGCTGCTGTGATTTCACCATGCTTCATTGTGCAATGACATTTAAGGCATTCTATTCTGTTCTATTCTATCAACACACACAACTCTGCAGATAAAGTTGCAGAGACGGCCGACGTCCACATGTCTGTGGACATGCTGAAGGGGATGCTGCAGCTGGACCCCAAGAGAAGGATCACACGCCTCCAGGTGCTGGAACATAAGTTCATCAACATGCGCCACATTGCCAGCACMGCCCATCAAGGCAACTAGTAAGTCAACAATGTGATCTGGTCAAATGTTTTTAAATMTATAATACAGTTTTTTCTATTCATATTCCACCTTTGTTACTGTTCATGTACAGCTCCTTACAATATGTCTTATACATCTTAACTATGTCACACACAAGACTGATCACGATGATGTGCTGCCTCACAAGAAAATGTCTCCTCCAGGGTCAAACAGAAGGATCCAGGGAAACTGGGGCAACTTCAGGYGCAGACATGAGTCTTGGCACTCTCTCCTCATCAGTTAGATCAGAGGACCAGGCCTGGTGATCACCACCACCACATCACAGGTCCTTCAGGCAGCACCCAGACTGAGGGTCAGGCTCT